CTTCTAGCCCTCCTCTCCTGTTCCTACATCTTTTGGAGAATAGGGCGATGTCTATGAACTGTAGTTTTACCACATTGCTTTCATTGTTTTGCTGTATGAATCTATTGTGCTATCCAAAGTGCTGGGTGCTATCTACCTACAAGGTATGAGACTCAGACACAATTCCTGGAATCAAGACACAGGTATTTATGCCACCCCACTTTTGACAGAGGAATAAGTGGAGAACATTCAGTAGATAGTAAAGATGATCCTATTAAAAACAAACAAACAAACAAACAACTAAGTGGTGCCACACCAGGACATTACTAGTGAGTTGACAAGAAACTTTGAAATGTAGTTTTTCTCCGTATGAGCTTAGCCAAGCCAATGACAGGTGTTTTGTGGACAGGACACTAAAACTGAGGCGCAGTACTTTATGTGAATTTGTAAAAACCATTTTTTACGTTCTTACCACAAAACCCTTAGTTAAAAAGTCCATGGTACTTCCTGATACCTAATAAGAAGTATAGCTTAGAAATGATTAAATGACTATATATAGAATTCGTTGACTTGAAGAGAGCAGGAATATTTTCCATACCTCAGGAATTACATAATGCTAATGCTCCAAGAATATGTTTGCCATTTCACCATGAGAGTTTGATGACACTTGCATCTATCTGATTTATGTCTTGCCCCAAAGATGGGGGAAAGAAAACTTAGTGAGCAAAGAAAGCAGCCTTTGGTATGTATAAACATCAGTACATATGAATCTGTGCATATTGAGAGTCAGATTCCGACAGTCCTCACACTGAGCAGAACCTGAATCACCCCTTTGATTTCAGTAGCAATGTGTAGAGCATGAAACGCTATTTGTGGTGGCCATGTGTGACAAATTCCAGAGTAGAGATAGATTCAGCTGACACTATTTCCTGTCATTAAAAATTCAGCATCTAGCACCACAAAGATCTGTGATGCTGGGGGCAGATTTTTGTTTTTATCAAGGAAATAGGTACTGCATTACGGCCGTCACTATGGTAACTCGTCCAGAATGGACTCACAGAAACACATTTTACCTGTGGCTAGTGGAGACAAATCAAATTAGAAACCTGGAGGATGGATCCTCTTCCCATACTAGTGTAGTAGGAGATTGATTTAATTTAGCTGAGTTATGCAAGTCTAAGATTAGCATGTGTGAGAAAAAGATCTTGTTTTTTACTTTTCAGGATGAGTACCTACCAATCCATGGTAGCCAAATTACTGACAATGGTCTTTACCAGGAAGTAACAGCAATTCCCTGATGTACTGCATTTCCAGGCTACAGCCAAAATAAAGTATTCCATTTCACATGGCCTCCTGCCAGCATCCCTCATACATATTGCACCGTTCTTTCTCACTGTGTGAAAATTTAGGTGACTTAATTTTAAAAGCAAGAATTAGAAGATAAAATGAGTGCCTAAACCAAGAAACACATATTTTCATATTAACAGAAAATGTATCTATCCCTGAATGTGTTTTAAGTAGTACAAAAGTTCACATGGTGTATATTAGTGACTGTGTTTCTTTGGGCACTTGCTGTCTCCATCATTGAGGGAGCAAGCACATGTATAGTATATTACTGTGATTCTTACAGTATGTATTATATTTATTTCTATTATAGCACACATTAAATGGTCACGTAAACCCCACAAAACTGGAGCAAGATAACAATAAAATTTACAAAACTCTTTCAAACCACACCCTTGTCTCCAAAGAGGAGGCAGCAGTACTTGTATGCTCAGTACTTGTATGTACTTGTATGTGGATTTCAGATGTTTCAGAGTCTCTTAACATTGATTACTTTGAAAAGAATCTTAACATATACTAGTGAATAACAAAAGTTCTAAAAACATCCAACTCCTGATAGATAAACAGCATGTGCAAGGAGACTGTGTTTGGAGCTTTAATCTCCCAAGATTACCAGCTACATATGTCAAATCACTGAGGCTGTCATGGTAATTTACATAGAGGAGTTGCTTCAAAAAAATCTACGGAGAAAAATAACATACATGGAAAACAGCAAAAACTACAATGTGGCCCAGAAAAACCTGTCTTCTAATCTGATCTTTCCCTGTTTTATCTACATTTTTGTGTGCAACTCTCATGTAACTGCCCAGTCTCCAGATACCACACATAGACCTGCTCATTCTAGGACAGAATCTTGGTAGGAAGATGCAAGAAAAATCTTTAGACAATAAACTTGGTGTAGCTGCTCATAGGTGTAATGAATTGTCACATCTGAAAGTTTTCAGAGTTTTCATTCACTGGCCACAGTTGTTGGGGTGTGGAGTATTTAGCATCACATTTGGATGCAGCAGGAGTTGTAGGTGTTCAACACTGGTAGAAATTAATCCACTTCAGCAGTAATTTAGGTCTCTTCTGCTTGTTTGGTGCTGAACAATGGTATGAAATTGTTAAGCACCACTGAGAATGCAGCATTTGATACAGGAGCATGTGCCTCCCTGACTAATGAAACGGAGGGTTAGAGCCCCACAAGCCCTCTGGTAATTTCATGCTGGCAGTGTACAATGCAAAAGACACAGCGACATAAACACTCTTCAAATGGAGAGCGTGAGATTCTCATATTTTTTTCGCTGAAGAGAGGAAAATATGGAGGAACAACATGCAGCCTAACAGCTGGAGAATTGGGCTCTCATACCGTACAGTTTTTTTCCCCACATATTCACTAGTGTATATTTTCTACAAAATCTTCTGGACCTCACCTTTAAAGATGCTGAAGCGGAAAACCTTGCTGAACTGGTATCCAGACTTGTCAAACTTGGGACTTAGTGCTCTGACAGCCATTCTGCAGGCAGAAGCTCTGAAAAAATTCCATGAGCACATTAATATTTCAATTGGCTTGCAACAAGTGTTTCTTCTAGGAAGGGAATTTTCCTTACATCACTTGAAGATCTGGAGCTGTGCTTCTTCCCAGGGCCCTCAAGTGAGAGTAGATGAAACTTGCCACTTGCATGCTAGGCTCCTTCAGCACAGCATCAGCTAATGTCATCACAATTGGAAGACCTGGCTTGGTTTCAAGTAAAACTGCTGCAGCCAACATTCGGATTCGAGGATGAATTTTTTGGTTCAGGAAAATCTCAAGGGTAATAGCCTGGACCTGAAAATAATAGATATATCCAGTTTTACTGTATGTTTGAACATTTTGCTAATAACCACCAGTGAATGAGCTGTTTCATCAATAGCACAGTAAAAAATTGGATTATTTAATTATTATGGCAACACTGTTTGTGGTTTCATAGTCCAAGGGCTCGAAGGGGCAATATGGTAATGTAGTCTGATTTCCTACACGATCAAAGCCAAGGAACTTCACTAGATAACTTCTACATCAAGTCTTTTATCCTTTTTGAGCTATCCCAGTGTACGTAAAAGAGATTTCATTAATCCATTACATAACTGAGAAGTGATTTCAATAATCACTTATCCCTATGCATAAAGGTACAACTTATTTCTAATAATGTGATCTTCTGGGGTACTTTCTGTTAAATAACAGCATAAAAATGAAACAAATAATACCTAATTTATTACCAGAAATCTCTATGCCATATAGGTAGCTTAAACCAAAATTTAATGCAATAAATGTAATTTCCTTAGTAGTACTTGTGGTTGACATGTTTGCCCTCAGCAATATTCACTACCAAGACAAATTTAGTGCTAGAACATTTGCAGTTTCCAGGGGGGCACAGAAGCCTTTGGCCCTAACATTAAAATGGATATGGATGATGTGCCACTGTTCTGGCAAACCTCCTGCACAGCCCTGTCCTGCTTGGACAGAGCACATCCATGAGCTGTAATGAAGAATGACTCAGGAAACTTCAGCAAACTTTGGAAAAAAACCCTGACTGGTTTTATGAGTTTGAATATGTTGATTATCAAATGTCAATATAGATGAGGCGACAAAGATGCAGTAGGCTGAAATGAGGCTTTTCAAACTAAATAATAAAAAAGGTCATGAATTAAGTATGCTTAATATAAATATGGGTGTGTACCCAGCTGCAAAATAGGCAATGAACTGTTTTTTGAACAATAAAAAAAGTGGTCACAATCATTAACTTGTTCTGGATCAATTTTCTCCAAAGAAAATGCATAGGAAATGAAACTGAGTGGTCTGGGCCACCTGTGGAAAGCCAGGCCAGAGAGCAATCAGAGATGCAGTGTTGGTCTCAAACACCAAATTGGCTTTTTTTCTTCCCCAGAAAATACTTTAACTTCCACCCTTGCAATTCTTTCCCTTCCCTCCTCTGCATTTCCCCATCCAGCTCCTGCACTCTAAGCTAAATTGTTTCTTTATTCCTTTGGTTAAAAGCATACCCTGGCTCACTATTGTCTGTGGATCGATATGTGCACTCAAACTGGGAGGCACATGCAAAAAATTAGTATAATGGAAACACTGATACTGATTAGTAGGTGAATAGTTAATGAAAGCTTTTATTTTACGTTTATATTAAGAATTTACTTATATAAAACAAGAAATTTTAACATCAGGAAAAAGATCTTGAAAAGCTTGAAAAGATTTCTATTTAAAAGCAAATTGCTTCAAAGTGAAAACCATTGTAAAGTGATGTCTGTGGTACATCAGAGTATGCTGGTATAGGCATTGTATGTGAGATCCAATAATTATCTCAGTCAGGGACAAAAGTCACATTTAGTAAATGTTCTGTTTATGACTTAAGCCCATACAATGTCTGTAAATTTGTAATTAGGATGCAAACCCCTGGTACCTATTTACAATAAAATCTGGTCTTGAATTACGATTAGATGTGACGCTCAGCATTAAACATCAATTCTCTGAAAACCTTGTTTTGTGGTTCTCTCACATACCAAAGGTGAAGTAGTACTAAACATATTTGGGTCAATAATTTAGTTTTCTGTCTAATGTCCTTGGAAATGAAATGTTTGCAATGGAAATACTGATTTGTCTTCAACAACAATGAATGTACCCTTTTAATGGGATTTTTTTGTTGCAGTCTGAACTACTGGAGATTAACGTCAAAAGAAATAAGACATGCCTACCAAGGAATGGCTAAGTATGTTTTTTTAAAAAATAATGTTATCTTTAAAAAAAATTGATCTGTTTTTCCCTCATCACCCATTATCTATTAGCAGCCTTGTCAGTGGAAGTCAGAAGGGCAAAGGAGGCAGTTTTGTTTTCTTACCATTTTGGGGTCTTTTAGGCCTATGTTTTTCAGGGCCATCACAGCAGTCACATGGACCCTGAGCGGCAAATCTGAGGCACCAGCTGCATATCCTGGCAAAAACTTCTTGATGTGCTTGATGCTGGCTGGATGTCCTACATTCCCAAGGGCTTTCAAAGCCAGGGAAATTTCTTCTGTGCTAGACTTGCTCAATGCCTCTCCTGCAAAGCCATGAAGAAGCTGAAAAATGCAAACAAATCTGTTGAGTTCAATTCAAGCTCTTATCTATATTCCATCCACCAGCCTGTTCTGGGGTTTGACTTCCATAATTTCAGTTTGTTCAATTCATTTATTTTAAATATTTTCAAATTCTTATTTTTCCTCATGAATAGAACATTTTATTCATAGAACAAGTGTAGCTGCAATGCACAGCTTCTTCTCATTATACCTTAAAGTTATCAAGTAAGATTTTTAAAGGAAAAAAATAACAGCTTGGACCTAGTGCCCACTGCCTTTCAAGGTAAGCTGGGAACCCTGAAATAATGCTGCTTGGGCATATCTCTCATGGTTGAAGAGAGAGAGATATAAATACAGATACAGTTAAACCTTCAGAGCCTTAAATAAGATTCCTGAAGTTATGGCTAGTGGTGGTGCTCTTAACCAACTATGACAGCCTCTTTTTAGTGTGGATTAATAGATGGAAAATGAGACCACAGCCAACAATTAGGTAATTTTACAGCCTTCATTGTAAGCAACTGGATCACACTTCCATTAGTATGGCAAGATTAGAAGTAGTTGTCTGAAGGCTGAATAAAAGCAAAGAACTAAATCCTAATAGATAACAGTTTTAAATGATAACAAATGGCTCTAAAAAAGCAGCTGATATGTTAGAGAATAATTTCAATACAGATTCTGTATTTTAAAATAACACATTTAAGATCCCTTGATGGTGTAGAAACAGTCTACTTGATATTACTGATCAAATGAAGGGACACTGGAAACACACTGAATAAGCCTAAACAATCATTTGCTTTGGGAAAGAATTTTCATTCTCTGACACAGGGCTTCTCAGATTTAATTAGCTCAAGAGCATTGGTGGCAATTGTAACACAGGAGACTAATGTAGGAATGTTGGCCATGCCTGTGTACTGCAGGAAAAACATCATGTCAGGCACGCAGTGTAATTGGAACACCCTGCTCTCACTGGGGATGGTGGATTGACAGGTGCCAAAGACTAAACACATATTTCTCTTTCCCTCCCTGTTACTGGCTGAGTGGTTGGCTCCATAAAACATGACATCCATTTTTAGAACTGGGAAATGCTATTTAATGACTACTCAAATTGTTTTGAGGCCATACTGATTAAAAGCAGTGTAGAACAGAGAGGGTGTTATTGGTGTTACAATAACCTTATAGCCTATATTGATGACTGGGCTCTGCTTCTGGCTAGGATACGTTAATTCTGACAAAAAACTGGGCTTTTGTATCACTTAGTTAATTTATAAATATACACAACACCTATATTTAAAGTATTTTTGAGCAATGTTACAGAACTTCATTAATAATTGGCAACAAAGCACTCAGGGACAGATAGAAATGTTATAAATTGTGTGCTTCTTCCTCTCACTCTCTTTCGTGCGCTAATCTAAAGATAAAAATGCTGTATTTAACCAGCTGGGGTTCCTTTCCCCAAAGGAAGCACTGTAGTGAAGCAAAATACAGCTTTCTGAATAATGAAGAAAGAACTCAAGGCTTAATTTTTCTTTCAAATGATAAACAACCCCGTGGTTACCTGGAGACACTCGGAGCAGGAGTCTGACGAGGAGCACTGCTTGTGGCACAGGGACGCGTAGCTGAGGTGGCAAACCTTCCCAAGCATGGAGCTTGAGCGTGGGCAATGCTTCTTTACTATGAGCTGGGGAGAAGGCAGTTGATCATTACTACCATTAATGAAGAGAAATATTATTGAAAAATATGCTCCTGCCCAATGAAACCAGGCTTTTTATTTTATTTTTTTTTTGGTTGATGGATTTTCAGTTAATCTGTGGACAGTACTGTGTTTGACAGTGTAATTATAAAGTAATACCAAGTAAGATCTGGAAGGCAGATCTGTGTCTTTTACAGTGTTTCACATTTAAATTTGGCATAGCCTGTAATCCAAATGGAAGAAATGACCCAGTCATGGAATGGAAAACTGCACATTATTGAAGAAACATTCATCATGTTTTGTGATTGCCTCAGCTATAGGCACAATGAATTTGAGATTTGTTGTGAATGGACCTCACTACTTGGGCAGCCAGGAACATCTTTTATAAATGTAGGAGCTGACGGGAGGCACCAGCCCACTGGTTTCTTGTGTGGGAAGAGAGCACCAGCACACAGTAACAGTTGGGCTCTCAGGGCTGTCACTGGGGGAAAAACTCAAGTCTGAGGTTCATTGTCTCTACCTAGGGTAGGCAGAGATAAATTCTTGCATCTGAGACTGGGATTAAAGCCTGTGTATACAGAAAAAAATTGCAAAAATAATTAGACTTCCTCCTACATGGCCTTCACATGGATATAATTCCCTTGGTTTTGACAGATCTTCTCAAATTCATACCCATCCTTCTAGGACAATTAGGAAAAATACGTGGATATAACAAATATGTATTTCTTGCTCCCTTGTCTTTGTAGACAGTCAGAGATCTAATCTGATGTAACTATAAAGTACATTTGGAAAAAGAGAGACTAGAAGCCACTGTTTGCAGCAATAACCTCTGTCCCCGGGAGGTATTTTAGTCTTTATTTCCTGTTTCATTCCAGACTAATTTTTGCCCTTTTGATTTGCATTCTTCTCCCCTTAAGACACTCAGGAAACAAAGCCCTTTCAACCTCACTAGAGGATATAAACCCTTTATCTTTTCAAAACCTTTGCTATCTTGTCAAAGGAATAAATACAACAGATGCTAGAATCAGCAGAGTGGTTTGAGAGTGTTTTGAGAATCCTACCGTTGCTTCCTCCATCACATCCCAAGTTGGAGTGCTGGAGTGCAGAGCCACAAGCACAGTTTGAGTCACTTCCCAGTTGGTGAGCTCCTGCTTTTCCATTTTGTGCCGCAGGAACCTGAGCCCACGGTGACTGGCCACTGCAGGAATTATATCCAAAATGTGGCGCCTGCAATGGGAAAGGCAAGCAGCATTTTCCAAGTCTGCCTCTCGACACAGGCATCCCAGAGGGTCTCCAGCAGGAGCAGCACCACCTTTATTGCCTGTACCTGTAGGCTGGCCGACTGGAGTATCGCTTCCACACTGATTCGTAATTCTCCTCATTTGCTGCACGGAAGAGCTGCAGAAGCTTGAGAGCTTTTGCTGGTGCATCACTGGGAAGCTGGTCAGAGGTGGCCTCTACTAATTCTTGCAGGCTTTCCTCTATCTGCAGAAAGATGAAAATTCAGGAAGCTCACATACATAATTTCCCATGTGCAGGGATTTAAATTTCCAACAAAGAATCTGTCCAGTGGCTAGGCTTTACCTGGCTTTCCACATCTTTTATTTTGAATAAGTGGACAGGAAGCTGAAGCAATTCACTGCCAAATTGATACTGAAGAGATCCACGAATCTGGTACGCTTTTGGTGGGACCTCTGCCCTCTTCTTCTGCACATCAGTCAAAGCAAGTTTCTGCCTGGAATGGAGAACCCCAGGAAGAAAACATCAGAAGATGCAGGATGCAAACTAAAAAAAACAAAACAACCCAGTAATTCTGCTTCCCCATATTGCAATGCAAATACAAAAGGTTTTGGTATTGAGGGTATTTACAGCCAGATGCATTTGGGCATGCTGCTCAGAACCATACTCTGAGGAGGTGTGCATTTGCACAACAGGGCTCAGAGCAGAGCCATGCTTTGCCTTCCTTTGGGAAAAACTGGGCTTGACAATTTATGGAAGAAGTGGGAGGTGAGAGGCTGTGGTCTGAAGAATATCATGGGAAGTACTTTGTGTCTTAAGGAGTAAACTATGGGCTCTAGAAAAACACAGATGGGAAACTTGCTCAGAAATTATAATTTAATTTAAATATTTTAAGTTCATAAAAGCTGTTATGTGTCTGTGTCTCTCCTGGAAGCTTCAAATGGAATTGAAAGTTTTTAGATACAATAAGAAATGCTACAATTTTTTTACTTGAACAGTTACGATTCCCTCCCCATTTTGTTTGGTAAGCTGAATATCCTGGGGAGTACAAAAGAAGGTTCTCATGAAGCTTTAAATTGGATTTTAAAAGAAAAGGGCCACATAAATTCAGGATTAGTCTTTGGAAAAGTGCTCAACCTTTTGAAAACTTTTTAAGAAGCAACAAACCTTCATCATTTGTTATTAAGAATAATTCCAATGAGAGACTGTCTCTGTAAATATTTGCTCTCTTTTTACATTTTCAGCTAAAGAGATGCAGCCTATCCTACCAATTATGTTTAAAATGGGTCATTTAGGACACTATAATAAAGTTAGGTATTTGTACTGAACAACTGAAAACATTCCAAAAGCAATATTGCTGTACTACAGAGTCTCTCAAAATCTCTGTAGAAAATTGGTGTGTTTATTTTGGAATCTCTATGATCTTCTGTATCATTTCTATTCACTCCTTCCATATGGATTGCAGAGAACTGCTGCAGAAAAATAGCATATAACTGCTTTACAGACAAGCCACTGGAATTTGAATAGAAACTGCTAGAGAATCAGTAGAGATTTTTTCTCTCTTGAAATTTTATACAATATTATTGAAAGGGCATTTGGGTCACAAAGTATAACATCAGGTACACTCAGGCAGATTTAACTCCCCCTTTCAAATCATGATGAATCTATTATGTCTTCATTTTCATTGTTTTGGGAAGAGATATATCTGCCTAGAATAGATGGGAAAATGTATGTATTCTGAAGAGAAAAGTAAATGAATGCTAAAGATGGGCTTAAAATGGTGAAACAGTAGTGAAACTTCTCTTGGCTTTGACATGAGCTGCAAGAGTCTTATGCCGAACAGATCTGAAAACTCAGCTCCAAGTGCCTTGATAAATTACTTTTTTTAACAGAGAATGCATTGTGGAAATAACTTCTGAAGACTTGAGTGAGATAGTCACATCTTCCCAACTACCTTGTATTTGTCCCCTTCAGCTGGGTAATGATAAAAATGCAGACAAAATGGGAAAAGTAAAGGTACTACCCGTCTGAGAGCTGAGAAATACCTTACTGAAGACAATCTCTACAGGCTGCACAAGGAGAGCGTAAAGCATCATAAATCCATTGTCTCCAGACTAATGCTGACTCTCAAAAACCTATAATTTCATAAAAACATTGCAGTTGTGTCTATCTACACCTTGGTTGAGTAGGACAGTAAAGCCACTTTCACTTTTTTTTGTTTAGTTTTGTTTGGTTAGCCAGATTGAACAGGTTCATTATGTATATGAAGTTAATCAGCCAGTTACTGACACAAACTTTCTGATGTTGCTGTTTCCAATAGATCCTTGCAGAAGCTAATGGAGCAATGAAGATTACAGCAGCTGTAGAGTGGGATTGAAGAACACCTTCTGCACTGTGAAATTTATGCAAAAAGCCTCTCCCTTCAGTAGGGTACTCCTATTTACAGAGTCCCTAATTAAATAACTGATTTTTTTTAATAAATTAATTTGATAGACAAAAACATTTAAAATACGGAAAATCTGAGCTACGGCCACAATTTCATAGACAACCATATTCGCGTTTTGCCTCAAATTTCTTTAAGAACTATGCAAAATTTGCTGTGAAAAAGCAAATGCATTTAACATGTCTTGTGTCCAATTGTTTTATAATAAAACCCAATTTCCTATCAAGAAACTGTTTTGATGGGAAATTTGCAAGCTGCCCATGGTATTTAGGAATCCAGAGTCCTATCTAGGTTTCTTGTGAACTAGTCTCCCAGGATCTCTTACTGCATTATTATTTTCCAGGGAACTCTTTTTCCTGAGTAACTGTCTTTCAAAGTATTTTACTTCAAATATATTAGTTCACAATTTCTCAGATGGAATTACATTTGTTTTGGCTTTTATGGCATAAATCAAATATCCCTGAGAAATAAAAAGTCAAGTCTTGCCAAGTTTAGCTAACAAAATTTGGATAGTGATGTGCATGTTTCAGATTTACAACTAACAGTGGAGGTTGTTTTTATGAGCTGTTTGGGATTTTATGTAATTAAATACTGGCAAACAATAGACTATGGAAGTAAAGGATTTATTTCACTTACAGACCTTCACTCAGATTACTGGGTTGCTCACTTAAAGGAATGTGTATGGTACCTTGCTTCTACAATAGCATTTCCTCCTGTTATCTCGTTGAAGGGTGAAAACTGGTGGATTTCTTCGACATCAGCTTGTGTAATTACAGCTTCACTACGTGTGTATTTAATTTTGTAATTGTAAGTAGCAGTTGCACGAGAATTCTTGTTCCTCTTTATAATATAAAAAAAAATGAAACAAAGAAAATAAAAAGTCATTGAACTTTGAAATTCTGTGACTAGAGGCTATTACATCACCCACTTCAACTCATTTGTTTTCCAGGGCCATTTTGTTCATTGGCCATAAGAGCAATCAATGTGAATTCTGTGCACTCACTTCCATGGGAGAGGTCAGGCACGCTGCCTGCCTCCATTACTTTTACTGCTAAGAATTGTTAGCTGCTTTTTCCTTTTCCCAAATCTAAGTAATTGGTCATTCCCTCGAGAAGCAGACACATTTGTCTGAGGAGAGCAGCTGCATGAACCACACAATTTTTTATATCAAAGACAGGATTATAATAAAATTCAGCCGTACCTGTATTGAATAGCAGAAAATGGACATCGTGACTATTTTTTTTTTACTCAACAGAGTAGGCGAATTAACTCATGCTGATAATTAATGGTTTCCAAGCCAGCTAGCTTGAGCTAGCTCATATGTGCTTGCAATATATTACAGTGGGCAGCTCAGACTTCTGCTTCTCTGTTTCTCTGAGATCATTTTCATACAGAAAGAAAATATTGACAACTGGATACAGCAGATCTGATTTTCCCCTCATTTTTAGTATTTCAAATTAAGAGATCGTGTGGATATGAAATGGTGCATAAGAATTTAAAGTACTTGCATGTAATACCACTCTGATTTACCTGCTGGCAGGTCTTGCATGGATGAGTGTATGCTGAACCTGTGACAATTTGAACTTTCTCTTCACAGCTGTCCAGGTCCTTGGATTTGGTCACATAGACTAGGTTTGCTCTCTTGTTTTCCTGGATTGCATATGTTGTGTTACAAATACCTCCAATCCCAGCCTGGTAAAAACGAGAACAGGATCAGAGAAGGTCAATATTATGCAAAGCTTCACTTCACCACATGAAATTTCTGGTTTAATTCTGCATTTTCAAATTACTAAAGGAAATGAATGCTTTATTTTTCCTTATATTCTTCAAAAGCAAAATTGTGATGATCATTACTTTCTTGTTTACAAGTACAGTTTTCAGTAAACCAAATCATAGTTACACAGAGAGATCTAAATCTCCCCAAAGTTTCACTTGGAGCCTCAGGAAAGGGGAGTAATAATTTTCAGTTAGAGGTGTTGATTATGATATATGTTTTAAGAAAATATTAATAAAAAAGTGTCAAAATAATTTGATCATTCAGAATGAAATCTTAACAGCAAAGTATTTCAAGGTTGGAGATGACATTCTGCCCTCAAAACTTGTTTTTACAGAGACCTTACAAATGCCTATGGAACAGGCCTTGCAATATCAGGTGATCTGTCACAATATGACCAGCAATAATTAAAAAAAAAATTCAGGATAACAGAGTTTTGATTGTGGGTCTTCTTGAGTTCACAGTTTTAGCTGAGCTCTTCAATAATATTTTGAGCATATACATTTATAAGAGCTTTTAAGTCTCCACAGTCAGTAAGATTTTTGTAGAGGAAAAATGCTTGATTGCATTTTAGGAGGAAGAGTTATCTTCCTGATTTTTTTTATTATTGTTATTTATAGCATAGCTGGTGCAGAGATCAGCTCTGGGCTATGTGAGAGCAGAGAAATGCTCACGTGGTGTTTAGGAAGCAAGATGCACCCACTTCATCTTCAGCTTAACAGAATTCCCTGAGACACTGAGTCTCTGGCAAAGGCTAGAAAGAGGAATTGCCCAAGCTTTCTGGAAGTCTTGCACTCTGCAAATACAGGTGTGGGTCTCTGCACACTGCAGGGTGTGGTAGAGACCTCCAGACTGTAAACAGGAACACCTGGCCCAGAGAGTTCCGCGGGATGGAGCAGACTCCTGCCTAGCTGAGCTTCACGGTTGTGTGCGGTTCATGGCTAGCTTAGGCACCCTGAACCCACAGGATGGGATGGACACTTTCCCAGGTTAGTCCTTTAAACCTCTCTGCAGCTCAGATTTTGGGACTAATAATGTTTATCTTCCTTTGCAGAGCGACTCAAGGTTGTCAAGCATAGGTGCCAAAGCTCATTAATCAGTTGCTGTCTCAGAAAAGCAAAGAAAACTTGGAAATTATTCCAGAAGGTGAAGTCACGTCTATTGCCTAACGGTGAGAGTAGAACATATTGCTAACTGAATTAGAAAGAATTAAGATGTGAAACTAGATATGAGAAAATAGTGTTGTAGAATATCCAACACCACCACATGGATTTTTATGTGCAGCAAACAGTGTGCAAAAAATTAAATCATCTAGCTCCTTTCCCAAAAACAACTCTACTTATGTAAAAATAAATGTAAAAAAGTTTAGAGTTACTCTGGTCCATAGCTTCAATAAAAATGACATGAAAGAATAATAATTTCAAGTTTTTTGCCGATCTCTGAATTGAATGTAGTGTAATCAATGTAAATATGGTTTCACAAAAAATAAACATATTGCAATTTCTGTGGTGAATAGTAATATCAGATGATTGACCTTGACTAATATATTAAAACTTGAAAAACAGTGGAAATTTCAACTGAACATCAACTGCAGCTGTCAAAGTAATATTATGACATATATACTATTTTCTTCCTAAAAGAGGAGCTAGAAGAAATTAAAGTATATATGATTGGTAGAAAAAGTCAAATTACTGTTACTATGACTTTAATATTAAACTGTATTTTCAAGCATGTTTTATGCAGTGTTCCGATTTTATGTAGGCTTCATCTTTCACAGTTTACTTTCTTTGGAATCACAAGCCAGATTTTCTAAGGGTTTAATTCTGCAAATGTATTTTCTGAAATACTTTCATCAACCAGTTTAAAAATATGCTCTTCTGTTGTCCTGTTTAAGTGCATCTCCACCGAATGTTGTCCCGTATGAAACTTAACTATGATTTCCCAAGATTAGGTCTTTCTTATAAGTGAAGTTTATGTCAAGGATGAATTCAGAAAATGCAGTAGAAGACTCTGAAGTGAAAGTTTATTTCTTTACAAAGGCACCACAATGGCCAAACCCAAAACTCACCTCCTGTAGACTGTATGAATTCTGCGTCTTCTTTATACTCAGCTCCAGCACGTTCATAATCCCTCTGTAGATGTTCAGACCATCATCCGAGACAGAATCAGGAGCTATAATGTTCCCAATGTGGCCATTGCTGTACTCAAACTTGATGGGGCTACTGAGCAGCCCAGTGAGGGCCTGGGTCAGTTTCAGTGACCGCGAGAAGGAGCTCGTGGGCCAGGCACCGTTGTACTCTGCGGCTTCGATCGAGTGAATCTAGAACAAAGGGGGAATAAAACTCCTCTTTCTGTTTTTTTCCTCCCAGTCAACTTTTTTTCAATACACATAAGCATCTAGAGCTTTAATCACATCAAAAATAAGCTTTTAAATAACGCAAAGCTTCTTCAAAGGGGAAACTTAGAAGGTGTCATTTAGCATAGCTAAATGTGTCGATACACATATTTCTGTGTATAAAAGGAAAGAGAGCACTGCAAATGGCTGATATTTCCATAGCCACTGCACTCTGTTCTGTTTCGCAGACAATCCATATTGCCAAAGGTTGACTTGTGCAAAGAAATGAGCCAGAGAAGAGCCGCATGCAGCAGGTTGCTATCCAAAAGTAGTATGGAAGATCTGCAGGAAATTGCAGGAGAAAGTTAATGTTGCATAAAGCATCATTAACTCCTGTTGTGAACTCTGTCATTTCCCTCACTGGGGTCACAGAGCACAGGCAGCAATCTGAAACTAATAAACCCATGGCCTCTAGGCCAGCCAGACATGCAGAATTAGTTTGAGCAGTGGACAGCAGGTTACAGAAATTGTCCTTCCCTACAGGTTTTGCTGTGGAACCAAAGGCTGAGGCACTGCCTCCAACCCCCCCCTGCACTTCACACACCAGCCTCAACATGGGGCACATCCAAACAAGAAGAAAGCTGTGCTAAACTGTGCATAACTTGAAAAATTCCTACCCCATGGGAACAGGCATGTTTAGCTTAGTTTCTCAGAGGACCCTTCCCTTCTATATATTTTGACAATTTAAAGAGACTTTTCTCTGACACCTCAGGCTGGCGATGTGGTGCAAGACACAGATTAATGTCTCAAAAAGCCACACAAACTAAATCCTCATACAGCAAATAGCTGGAGACTGCACTTTCATATTTATTTTTGTTATTGTTGGTGGAGATCACTGCCAACCTCAGTAAGTGAAGCTTACAGGGAAGGTTGTTAGAGAGTAAATCCCTCATGCTGCCTCTTGGACATGCTTCTGGCATATTGCATACAGGCAGGTTGGGGACTGCTCTGCAGGGTCAGGCCGAGGTAGTTTTCCCCAACCCTTGGGGCCCAGGCAGGACTTAGGCTGTCTGCTTGGTTTTGAACACAGCTGGCAATTCTTACTTGTTGGTTTGTGATGAAAAATTGTCAGCTGGAAACTGCCCAGGGAACACAGCTTTTTTGTTTGGGCTGAATGTGAACTAGTAGGCTGCAGATGAAAGTTTAATTCCCTGAACCATCCCTCCAAACTGTCTAATTTAAATATAACAGCAGGAAAATAAACTTTTCCCAGAGAAGAAAGGAATAAGTGTACTATTACATTTAGCTTAGAACGTGCACAAAAAGTTAGGGTTTTTTTTCCTTTTCTCCTTTCCTTGCCTGAAATAATTTCTGAAATGGAAACTTTTCACAAATGCAGTAACACCAGTAAAATTATGTTAGAAAGTTTTAGAGAACAGGAGTCAATTTTTGGTGAGGACTCACCCTGGCAAACCAAGAGCCATTTAGGCAGCAATGAAGGAGGATCTGGGATGAGGACAAGACTGCTTCTGCCTCTTTTCTGGCAGGGATGCTTTCTACTCACCACTCCAGATGTGTGACTCTTATTTCCTTGGCTTTTTTGTTCTGAAATGCATCCCCTTACAAATGTCATGGAAAAGAGCATTCTCCATCTAGATTTATTATAATTTGAACTTACAAAAATACCTAATAACAGCAGGCTAATTCAGGGTGGAAGGCTACAACATTTACAAGCATTTATTAGACATCCACCAGGCTTTTTAACCTAAAGTTTTCAATATGCCAAATTAAAGCTTTTAAACATAACATTTTTCTTCCCTGCATACACAAGACTAAATGGAGTTTGTGTAAAGCAATTGAGGTGTGCATTTCTATACAATCATTATAAGCACATATTGGCTCCTGTTAAAGACAAAAGTGTATTTCACATCATGAAAACCCTCAGTAATAACTCAGCAAGCAGTAAAAACATACAATTGAGGATGACAAAAAATGTCACTCAGGACCCTTCAGAAAAAAGAAAGATGACATTAATTATGCTAAATATTGGATCACATGCAACTACTGTTGCATGTTTTATTGCCTTTTGTCTGCTGGTTATGAAATCAGTTGATTAAATAATCTTAGGTTGTACAGCTTGAAACAATTGAATTGATCTAGTAATAAATAATTGTGCATTTCAAATTACATTCCATTGTCTCCCTGACCACAAAGCAGAAGAAATCCTTCAAGCCCAAGGTTGGCTTGAGCTGAGAATTACCTTGCAAAGTGCAAATAGAATTTAGAGCACTGTATAAAATATAACAGTGTTAGTTACATTATCCCTGAGTAAGCACAACACATGATGAAACCTAATAACTTCGCATAAGCTTAAAAAAGAAACTAAGTATGATGAGAATTTTACCTTTCAAATTGAATACATTTTCTTACCCTAATAAGACAAAGTTTGGGCCCAATGCCACTAATTTCCACTTTACTTTTTATTCTTATTCCAGCTCTTGCAAGTCCTTTCTCTGGAAGTCCACTGAGAAGCGTGGTTTCATAATCAAATGTATAAACCTTGTTTTCACTGAAATCGGGTTCTGTAAAGAAATGGTTCCCATGAAGTATTATACACAATGTACAGAACATATTAAAGTAGCTGCATTAGAATATACGGAACAAAAAAAGACAAATTTGTTCATTTTTGCATTGCACCTGAACTAAATTAGCTGTTGTAAAGCTATATTAAACATTGATACACTTTTCAGATTCTATTTTTAATTTCACTTATTATAATTATATTAGTTGATAGGAAAATTACTTACGGTAATTAATATGCTGGCTCCCTGAAAGAGAAGAAAAAATAGAGGAATAAAATGATAAAGAAAAAAGAAACAACACCAAAATGTTAATGTACTGTAGTATGAAAGGCTATATCTCATCTTGCACATACAGCATAAACCTTTCTAATTCACTTTACTTCTATTTCAGCACCAGCCAAATGCCTTTTTTTTCTTTAAACAACAAAAGAAGGAATGAAACATTTTTTCTACAACATGTTAAAGTTCACGTCTGCCAGTGAACTATATGTAGGTTCTGAAACCTTTTCCTGAATATACAATTTTAAATTCCTCAAAGCAGATAAGTTAGATACTTACCCACCAGGGTTAAAACCAGGGCTAATATCAAGCCCCTCATGATGGGGATAAAGTAAAGGTGAACGTGATGGGTTTGTCTTTTATAAAGGCATGTGATATCACATGTTTCTTTTGGCACGTTAGTTTGACAAATAAGTGTATTCTAGAATGCATATTGATCAATCAAAAAATAAACATTTCTGAGGTCATGAATGCTGACAACTTCAAATCCCCTCATGATTTCAGCTACCTTACTTTCTATATAGTTCCCTGTGTTTGTGAGACCTTTGAAATTCAGCAGGACACCTTGGCAGGTATATACTGGAAAAGAGATTTAATTTTAAAAATGTCCTGAATTCTATTTTCCTCCATTTCTCTACATTTTATTTATACAGTAAAAAACCCACTAAAATTTAAATTATACAAATATAGTTTCTCCATCATAACTGAAATAATTTAGCTTTCTTCCAGCCATGTCTACAATCTCCTGATATTTTACTCTTCATGAGGGTCACTGCTTAGGAGAAAAACCTTGCTCACATTGAAACTATACTATATAATAGAGGAGAATTTGTGGTTGATTTTATATATTTAGGCTTGAGACACCTTACATCTCATAGGCATGCAATAAGAAACTGCCTTTCTCTGGTACCCACCATATCTTGTTTCCCTCACCTGGAAAGACAAAACTTGTCAGTATGACCATTACATTAGCCTGTGGTTAACAGTGAAAGTTTGTACAAAGAAAACAGGAGGGAAATGAATTTCTTTGTTCATAAGAAGAATCCAATAAGAAGTGAGTTAAATTTCCAGCAGGACCTCAGTGAGTTGGGACCATTGGGAACTTCCCAGTAGGTTCTCATGGGGCTTTTTCTGCTGTCACTCCTGGGGAAATATATCCACAATTTCCCACTTCTAGCAATAACATTTAGATCAATCCTTAGCAAAACCATGTCAGGAGGGAGTTTGCTCTCTAACTTCAATTATATGTATTTTTTTTTTGCAAGTGTTTAACATTTACTTTGAATTTAAACTTGTCTTTTGTTCAAATGATAAATTAAATATCATTTAAAAAACCACCTGCATGCAAAGGTTACTGAGGGGGCAGGAAGGAGAGCTCAGGAACGTATACCTGGTATTTCCATGAGGCTGTGGAAGGTGCAACTCAGCAAACACTGCACTAAGTCAGGCAGCCAGGCTTCATCCTCCAGGAGGGGAACAAGGATTTCTCTGCTGGTGCTGTCCATCAGGGAGGAGAAGGGAGAAGGGTGAAACCTAAACCTAAGTCCTGAGGTCTTCACCTTCTGGCCTGAAGACACATTTATTGTGGGCCCCATCAAACAGTCCTTTGCATTATTTACTTGGAGTGATGCCACCTGACTGAGGAGTAATGAAGTTCATTATTGTGGTGCCAGGGCACCGGGGCTGGAGTCAGGCATGCAGTTGCATGGTCCCTCTACTCCATCATTGCTCCACCTTGAGTCAAATGAGGGCTCCTTCACTACCAAGACCTCCTGAAATCTTGAGGGTTTTTGTATCACAGCTTTCCTTCACGAAGGGAGTGATACAGAGTTGTATGGGTAGTCAGACCTTCCCTGAAATGAAATCTGTCTAGTACAATATTTAAGTATATAGTAGACATAAGAACAATTAAAAGAGGATTAATTATTATGTTTTTGGTTCAGTGTGAGCTCAAGTGGTGAAAAATTAAGTGCACACAGATTTTCCTTGATGTTTTCTCCTAAGGTGCTAAGTCTTGTGAGCTATGACAAGATACACTATGTTAGTGAGCCCTGTGAAATTCAGCAGCACACCTTGGTGCTGTGAGATGTAGTCAGAAACATCTTTACAAACAGCTACATTTTTTGCAGCCAGAATGGAAGTAAATGCACAGCAGCAATGTAATACTGTAAGTGATAACATGCAAAACTCCTTCGCTCACCCTGCTCATCACTGCCACAGCTTGACCTCTGCAGTAATACTGTGCTATCATATTTAGCTCAACTAGCTCCATTCCACAGGGCAGAATGTATAAGATAAAGTACAGAACTGTATGAGAAAGAATATTTATTTAAACATTGTTGCTAATAGCTCATTGAAATACTGTGTGAGGGACACATACCTATCAAAAAAGATCTATGGCATTTTTCAAGATTATAAGAAGGTTTATAATTAAGGTGAAACATGAATAAATTTGTTCCAAATGGGTAGTAAAAATACTGCATTTCTTTTTTCTAATGAAGCACACTGAATCTAAGCTTACAATCACCATGTGGATACCTGATTGCTAAAATAACAACTATAATAATTAAGATGGTGCAGGCTACCATTTTCTCTTCATTTGCAGCATGTACTCTCTCTTCTTAATAACTCCTCTCTACCCAGGCTTGTTTCCTTGGGGGAGAAAAGAAAGTGATCTCAGAATTGTTGTACCCATTATTGCTTTAAAGGAACTACAGAATAAATGCAGTAAGTAGAGAGGAGACACAGCTAGATTTTGAGGGTCACAGCACTGAGCTCTAATCCTTTCTTCAAAGTAGACACATCATTCCAGCTAGTTCTGAGGGAATAAACAGGAGATCTATCACTTTAAGGAAATGGATAAAAGGAGAAAAGGTAAGAGGTACACTTTTTAAAGGCAATACAATGTTTCTTAAACTTTCAACAGGTCATGTTAGTGGAAAGAAAACACATGAAATATAAATAATCCACAATCAAACAGGCCCTCCACAAACAATTTCCAAATGCCTATTTTGGTTGCAGAGGAAGGAAATTTAATGTGGGCAGAGGCTTTATACACAACCTGTATATTTTCCTTTTTTCTTCTTTTAGGCATAAACAATAAAGAAAAGGGGTTTTTAAAAAGCAATGGGAAATATCTTGGGATTTTTTTTTTTCCTTTTAAAGACGAAAATATATGGTGTTGAGTGTTGCAGAGAAGGTGATAGCTGTATAAGGAGTGCAGTAAGAGGAGGTAGACTGCTTTCATTTTACAGGGCACTTGCACCATAAATGAAACATGAATACAGCCTAATTAACCTGATTAGAGCTATTGCTTCTACACAGCAATTGTCTTTACATAACACATTCTGCTTGAGTAACAGAGTTATTATCTGCTGTTGTACTGCCACCGATAGCTCTGCACTCTCTTGTTCTGTATTCACATTGCTGAATTATGGTGCAGTGATGCCATTTCCATCCTGCTAATGTACAGCCTAATGACAAGGCAGAGATTAGCCAAACAGCTCCCAAGCAACCACAGCAGGTTAAAATAGATATAATCAGCTGGCTAGGCAAAGAGATTTCTAGCCTTCAGTTTTCCTCATTTCAAAAGGCTTTTTAAAGGAAGCTTCACACCTATTTCATATTTAACATTCACTCCTTGAATTTTTTGCTCAAAACATTCAGCATTTGTAAGAGTGGCACAGCCTACAAGATAATGTTTGATATTCTCTCCAGAGACATCGTCTAATGAATGAGAATGTGTTAGAGGTTAGGCTAAATTGCCATATGCCTATTCTAGTACATTCACAAAGGGATTTTTTTTCCATTAGATTGCTTTAAAAGGGGTTTTGGGGATTTTTTTTTACTGTTATCCCAATTTGATGCTGGCACACCACCACTAGAGTGAAAACTGTGGGAATTGGATACAAAGTTTAAAAACTAAAACAGGTAGAAATGCTATTTATTTGTTGTCTAGCTTTTGATGCATGCATGGTTTGAAAGAAACTATTGGTCTAGATTATTAGAATAGCTGTAGAATTTTATTTTGATAAATTTGCTTCTTGCTAATATATGCTGCTAAGTAAAGACACATTTTGGTGCATTTTGTGAAGTAGTTGTTGGGACTGATCCTAAGGCCAAGTGTGCATTGCCTGTGATTTCCAGATAAAAGAATGAAAGTACAAAGAGGAGTGGGGAATCTAACTCTGACATTCTCAATCTGAAAACAGATTGTTTTGATACGACTTAGTTTTACTAAGAAGCTCAAAGGTTTTTATTTGTATTCAAATATGGAAAACATATTCTGAAGCCTGACAGTCCACAACAGTGACTGCCATCATTGGTTCATCAGCCAGCATACTGATTCAGTGGCTTCAGGATTTTCCTTCCCCTTTCAGGACATCCTATTTCCCAAGTCATTCAGTAGGGTTAAATGTTAGACAGCTTGCATCTGAGGTTGGACTCACGTCATATTTGAGGAGTGCTGTTTGCTATGTAATTCCATTGCACTAGAAGATAACTAATAAGTTTATCTTAACCCTTAGACTTCACGGTCACAGAGTGATTATCTCCTGTGGGGTTGGTGCTGACAGGACATCAGGTAGCCCTGAAATTCAGCCATGTCAGGAGTCCAGCTCAGCTACTTTGGGGATGAAATGGTGACGGCACGGACAGGACACAGAGCTCAGTGCCTGCACTGCCCTGCTCGGCAGGCCGAGGTGCTGCTTGTGGCTGCGTGCCATGGCTGGGAACTCACCCGAAGGGAAGGACACTTGTGCAAGGTTTATTGTGACAGTTATGGCTGCAAAAAGTGTGGGCACTGCTGCAGGGAGGTGAGGAGAGCCCACACCACCCTGTGTGCCTCAGGATGAAGGCAGGAAGAGGGGGAACAGCTGGTTTAGCCAACTCAGCATCACAACCCTTTTTCAGGGGGCACTGTGAATACAAGAAAACAGCTGCTGCCACTTCACAAAACAGCCCATGATCCTCTGCTGTACTGCATGAGGATGCCTTTCCCTAGAGGAATAGTGCCCAAGTCAGTGGTGGAAGAATTTTAAAAATAAGGAAATTCTCAAGGCTTTTTTTTTTTTCTTTACAATAGTCCGAGTGTATTACACTGCAAAACTTCATATTCATCTAAGAAAGGAATTGGGCTTATTGTTTTTTATTTTCAAAGTGTGGGGCAGTAAAAATATATAATGATATTTCAAAATTGTTATATTGTGGTCCCACCCAAAATGCGTGAAATCTTTTAACAATGAAGGGGAAAGCACTGTTTTCTTCTTAGAAGTCAATATTCTCAGGTATAATGATGATTTTTTTGTTTGATGGATCCTTATCTTAGTAACATATTCCTTTACAGCACAGTGCCACTGCAAGAACAGAATGGGTCTGGATCATCCATCTCTTTCTAGTGCTTGAGTAACAGAGAGGTTTATGGTGTCAGGAGGAAGCTCACCATGAATTTACTCTCAGGACGGAATATGTGAGGTGAGTGATACCTTATTTCACAGCACTGGGTCACTGTGACATTAGGTCATGGGTCAGATAAGATAAGCTGTGTATTATTCCTAAAGAAGGAGCAGATAATACCCAGCCAGTTCAAACAACAGGCATTGACTTTACCCTCACAAAACAGGTAAAAAAGGCAACATCACCTACCAGTATTTAATGAATGACTATGACTTCCAAAGTATAAAAGGCTTAATCATATACAAATAAGAACACATTTTGTTTTTAAGTGAGTGTGAAAGTTAGTTCAGTAATGAATTGAGCACCACAACTCATCAGTTTAAAAGAAAGTAGTTGCTACAGGGTTATTCCCAGAACAATATGTATTAATCATAACATTTTCTGAATAAGACAGTTACAGATAAACGGAGCACTGATATTCATACCTGCTTATCAAGTACTGCAGCTCTATGGTTCAGCATTGCCCATCAAAATCAGAGGGCAAAATAACTCTTGAACACACCTGTGGCTAAGACCATGAAGATTTAATTTAATCCCCCTAGTATAAAGGATTAAGGCTGAACAAATTTGTATACCCAGGAGAAGCTGGATCTGGATGGATCCAGGCCTGCTGTCTTGCACACTGACACAACTGCATTTTCTCCCACTTTGCAGAAAATCTCTTAACCATTTGACTGGGAGCAGTTCTAACACTTATGATAAAGGCTGCCTTTTCCTGCAAGAAGAACATATATCACTAAAATTCAGTTCTCCAGTGTGGTATGTGCAGCCTTGATGTGTAACTACTCAAATTCTATTTTCAAGACTTTTAAATATAAATATAGGAAAAAGTTAAAGGCAGGCCCCTGCTCTCTACTCTCTGTACCCTGCACTGAAGTTAATGGTATCTGTTCATGGAGTTTAACTGCAGCTATATCTAGGTTATGCTGACACTAATTTGCTCTTTGAGAATTCACTGTAACTTCAGTGCAAACACCCAAGGAATAAAACAGTTCCCAGTATGAATAGGGTTTGAAAATCTGCTCTAGCATGGGTACCTCGCAGAACATAAAAAATGCTATATGAGAACTTTATTTCAAATGCCATCCTTTTTTTTAACTATTCAATTATTTTTTTATAATAATACCTAAATGAATTTCCTTTTGCTCAGCTTTGGAAGATGGTTATTTTCTTGGCTTTCAAAGACAAATAACTGGAAAATAAACTTCTAAATTTAATTTTCAATGAATGCCTGCACTGATCAACAAATAATGTCAATCTTGAAACTTAAATTGGACAGAATTATCAATTTTTTAATTCTCAGAGAAGGCAATGGAATGAAGACAGAGCAATTCCATGGATATTTGATGGAGTTTTGTCTTGTTGGCTTTCCTTTCCTCTCTGAAAATTTATTTGTAATTCATTCACTGTCTGAATTTCTTCTGGAATAAAACTGATGTAGCTCCAGTTAAATGGAATTGGGTCACTTTACTCCAGATGTGTATTTAGTATTTTACAGTTTTTAATATAGGAAGGTGTTGGTTGATGCTAACTTAGTTGCCTGTTAGAAAGTCTCTGGAAAAAACAAGTTCCCTTGAACTGATTATTACTGCAAAAAGCCTCTAATTGAGGACTTATACTGCAAAACACAAAGAACCATAAGTACAATCTAGTAAATAAGTCAAGCATTCCTATTCATCTTCCCAGAATTTCTGGCCACTGTGACACAAGTGAATGAAAATTTGTCTTCCTCTTGATTTAAAGATGGATTTAAAATCTTTCCTACAGCAAATAAAACTACTTGGATTCACATACCTGTGAGTTTTCTGAAGTGAATGTTAATTTTACCACTCCATTCTGTACTTGTGCACTTCCAAATATTTGCAGCATATACCACAATCAGGTGTAATAAATATGTGCATTTAAGCATATATATTTTTAAACTCCTAATTAATTACACAAACATTTTATTCCGCTTGTGCTCTTGGTCCAGCTATCACAGGCATCTACACTCCAGTGCAGGTGCCAGTGGCTGCCACATGACACAGAGTCACAGCAGAAGAGCCTATTAACACAGCCAAGACTCTTAACACAAGATTTTTGTGTCTATAAAGCTCAACTCTCTTTCTTAGTGTAATTATTATTTATAAGCATTAAAGATTTTTTTCACATCTGCCTATGTTTAGCCTATCCAGACAGCTCCTGGGCTTTCTGTGGTAGCAGAGCGCTTCAGCAGATGATGGCAGTGCCACTGTTGAACCTGGAGTTAAATGATGCTATCATATTAGGTAGAAGTGGTGATAATAAATAATTCAGTGCCTTTCTGGAAGGTAGCAGCCCTATAACCTTTCAGCTTCCTCACCAACCAATCTACAAAGAAATGTTGCTAGGAAAAACTATGGAGGAGTGTGGGAACAGCTCATCTTCCAGGTAACTGCTGGTATCAGCAAAGGAAAATTAAAATGTGAGACATACAACTGTAAAAGAAAATATGCTCTACATGAAAGCACATCAGCAGCTCCATCTGTAAGTTTCTACTCACTCAACATGTTGGAAAAAGTATAGAAAAAGATAAAAGTGCATGTACAAAGACTTAGGCAATGTCTGAAGGGAGGGTAACAAATGTTCTGTCTTAATGAAGCATGGAAAAGAAACCAATCTCACACTAAGTTGGAAAAGCCAGGCCAGTCACCTGGGAAACAAGAAAAAAAGGCAAACCAAGAAAATAGGCTATCAGCCTAAGCCTCACAAAGCATTCACAAAATATAAGTACCATAGACTTGTAAGTTAGTGGTTAATGGGGCTCTAAAACTATAGAACTGCCTGTAGCACACATGGAACCACAGGTGTGTGAGCCAGCCTTGCCACTGAAGATTACTGGAGCAGCAGGTTCAAAGCACATTGAAATGAAGACCATTATAAGAGTTTCTAGATACCTTTCTCTGACTCCAAGGAGCAGTTTAACAATGAGTTTGAAACAGCCTTTCCATCCTGAAGTTACAGCAAATAAGATTTCATTGCCATTTAATGGGTAGAATTCCTCATGCAGGAACAGTTAGACCTGTGAACAGTTCTTTAAAATGGACCTGGACTGAGATGATGAACCTCCAGCTATAAGAAATAAGGTGCAAGGACCTAAACTGAAGGCAAGAGGAGCATTGTGAGTCAAGGAATGTGATTCTTCAGAAACAGTGGGAAGAATATCCCTGAATCAGGCTTGAACTGCCTGCCATAAAAGGTGGCACAAGGTGTGAGGAGAAGATTTGTGGCGACTGTATGGAAGTGCAGGTTCAGAGAAGCAGACAAGTTTTTCATGAGGGTATTACCTGACCCTAAGAGATAAGGGGAGTCTATTTTGCTAAAATGCATGAGAGGCACAAGATGCTGACAAGAGCTTCAGATTGATCTGGAGAGCGGGAAGGGATGATGGACTTCCCAGGGAAGGAGTTGTTCGATTTCTCATCAGAGCACTTTGCCCTCACTGTCACTCATTTTGCTCTAGAGCCTTATAAGATCTTTAACCCAAAACAGGTGGTTTTGTCCTACTAATGAGACTTAATTGGAAACCTATTGTTTTTACAGAGAGACTCTTAGGTCTTCTCAATAGGCAGATCGAAATAACATGAGGGAAAAAGGGATTTAAACTGAAAGACATGAGTGACATTTTGTCCATGTTATTACCTCAGTATTAAGTAGTTTATTTTTGTCTCTCTGTCTTGGGGAAAAATGGTTTGGATTTGCCCTTGAACATGAAAGACAATAGAGAGGTTTTAAACAGTTTAGATAAATATATGGCAAAAATTACTCTGGAAACAAATGAGAATAATTTGAAGCTACACAATAAAAAAAGATAGAGATATATAGAAAATTCTACTTTTCCATTTTGAAGCCCATTTAATACACTTCAGATTAGAAGGCTGGAAAAAGGTTTCTACTTCAGTCTCTTATCTGAAGCCAGGAGCAAGTGTACAATGCAGAAAAAAAGGAACCAAGGAAAATTTTTTATTTTTCTCTTTGATGCCTTCACAGATCCTTCAGAATAGAAGAGAGCTTCAGATACTTTATTTTTTTTTTAGTCTTGAAGAACTTCTAGAATAACTCTGAATTTTATATATTCTGTTTTTTCCAGTTAGCTTTTCTTTTTTATCTATAAAATTTATTTTAACATCTCCCACCATCTTTAGCTTGTCTCTTGCCTTGTTGCACTGTAGACACAGTGACTGTCTCAAAGTCAAATGAGGGCAACATTCCTCAGATGGCCCATCCTGCAGTTCTCTAAAACTTTCATTAATATACATTACTTTATGGTGGTTTCAGGAAAGACTGAGTAAAACTAGAGAGAGGTGAGTACTCCTGTTAGATGTCCAGAGAATGGGATCTCCATTTAAGTCATCCTTCAGGTGCTGCTGCCACCTCCTGTGGTGCTCTGACTGTTCCTCTGTGAAGATTTGGACACTGAGCTTCCCGTCCCTCATTTGGGACCTCACACAAGATGTGGGAGGCTCTGTCTTCCCAGGCTGCTCACAAAAGTGGTCTTGTGTTCACCATAGGCATTGCTAACAAATGAATAAACAAAAAACACCCCAAACCCAAAACCCAACCAAAGAACCCCAGAAAGACCAAAGCAGGGGTGCCTTCTGTGAGTGTGTGCTGTGTTGATTCCCAGGGATGTTAACAGCTGCCACAGAGATGCCAAAAGGCAAAAAACCCCAGCCTCACCTCAGCATTATGGCACAAGGGATAAATGGAAGGTGAGTAATAACAAATCTATTAGAAGAGAGTGCAAAGACCTGATTCATATGCTGGTGGGAATTCATGTGCTGTGGTGGGAAGAAGGTGCTCTAAGCAGGGGTGGAAGGAGAGAGAATAGAGTGCTGACTTATGAGCTCCACTCCTGCAAATACATTACTGTTTGACTGTAAAGTACCAGAGACAGCACAACTTGAGGTGTATCTGCTTGAAGGAGGTTAACAGGAATGCCATCTCTCTTCACATTTCTGTTTCTCATTCTATTTCATCAGGTAAGATCTCTCTAGTGA